ACCATATACACTCTAATGATGTAGGGTATAATTTGTTATGTTATGAACAAATTTTTATGTTTATTGGGTTCTGTTTTCAATTAAAATCTTATCATTTTGTAAAAAAAATAGCAAAACTGATAATATGTAGTCATTATTTAAAAATCAATATGCATAGATTCTTAAGCATATACTCGTACCAACAAAGTAGCACGTTTTCAATACAAAAATTAAACAGATCACAAACTATTGATAATAAAATAGACAAAAGAGCAATCAAAAGTTTGCACAAATAAGAGAGAATTTTTGAAACGATCACAGCTCTTAAGCCCTAGTTGGCAATCTTCAAAAAACTCCATGATTTAAAAGTGAAATACAAAAACACATTAACCTACATGTAATGAATACGCAATGAAAAATAAAAAATAAAACGTTTAAATGCCGGCAATAACTCTATGTCTTCTACGTAATAAACCATTAATTAAATAAACAAAATTATTTTGTATACATTCATTTAGTTTCAACAAATGTTTGTAAGAAAACAAAAAGAGTCAAGTCTAGTTAAAAGACAACGTGTTAAAGAATAATGACGTGTCTTTTGATGTGCCAAAGTGTTTTTTTTATTTAGAAAGTGAAATTTAAGATTGTTTAATAATATTACTTTGTATTTGAAACTCTGTAAGAAATTTGTATATAAGCCTTGGATATGATTGGGATTAATATATATTTACGTTGTGTAGTCTATATTTTAAAGCTCTATATTGAATTTGTTTTAAATTTTCTAAAATAACTTGTTTTTATTCAATATGATTATATTGTAGATATGTATGTATGTAGATACATATGCATGTATGCAAGTTGATTTGTGTGCACTTTATTTATTAATCTTTAAACTTATAATCTAGTATACAGCAACTTAAAATAAAAGTTATGTTTAATAAAATTTAAAAAAAATAAGGAATAATAGGAAAATAATTGGAAGCTAGTTAAATTTTTAGAATTTTCTTAAAATATAAGCTATTTTTCTTTAATAAACTCTTTGTATTAGATGTAACAGCAAGAACGGCCCTGGGGACTTAAGTCGGCTACGGATACGTTAAGTAAACATTCCGCATTTCATAAAATGTTTCCGCTTATATTTTTTAGTGTGCTTTTTAATTAAAAACTCCTGATCTTTTAAAATCGGGAGAATATATGTACCTATTATTACGATAACTCAGGTCAAAAAAATTTTAAACCAGGTGAAATCCAGAGACCAAATTATACCTTTTCTAATGTATTGAACATCGCTGAATCAAATAAAACCTTAACTAAAGTTATCCCGAAGAATGAAGAAATCTTTGTTTTAAGTTTAATAAATAAAGATATCTTCGCGTTGTTATAGCGTCTCAAATATGGCCAAAATCTGTTTTTTTTTTTTCATATTTAATACACGATATCTGTAAAAACTGCTGTAACGGAGAAATTATGAGACGATAGTTTGATTACCAATTTCATAAGAAACGAACGCTGTAAAATTAAATTAAACATAAATTTCAAACTGCTCCAATATGATTTTTTTTGAGAAAAATTTCTTTGAATTATCTTTAAAATTGTGGCATGTTGTTCTTTTAAGGTGTATGATTGGGAGAATATTTTTGTATATTACAAACATGTTAATAAACGCATAATATATTAAAGACTACAGTGGTGCAGGGTATAATTAGTAAATATTCAATTTATGTTCAATTTCACTCATTTACAGTTAGATAACCGCTAAGCTAGACTTGATTATAATATAAAACGAAAGAAAAATAAGAAGAGTAATAACAATAAATAAAAACATACATACATAAGTATGTATGTATGTATATTAAGTGAAGCAACAAATGGCCACTAAAGTAAATTTCCAATAAGCATAACTTTAGCAGACAACAACATTTATAATAAAACAATAAACGTCAAACGAAAGTGTGTGCATAACATACAATTTGGAAATAACAACAACAAAATATACAATAAGAAAACATAACACATACTACCGTAAAGTAATAGGAGCAACCAACCAACAATGACAAGTACGTATAGAGAGAGGATGAAAGCAAAAAAGAAATAACAAAATGCAACCTTCAATATATTGTAGAGGAGAAAGTAGCAGATTTTCTTTAGTATTAATTATGAACAATTTAATTTTATTATTTCTTATAAACAGTATCCAAAACATATGCACAAACCCCCATTAACTATTTCCCAAAAACAAAAATTCACCATTTGTCGTACGCCAATGGATGACGTTGACAGTTTTTTCGTAATCCATAACTATAACATTGCTCGCCAATACGAACCCTATATACAAATTCATAATTTCTTAATTATTTCTCCCTAATTTGTAATCAACAACTCTCTTAATTATGTTAATAAAGTAAAAATTTAAGAGCTTAATGTCAAACAAATTTATAACAAATATATAATTATCGTTAAACTAATATAAAATTAAAATTGCCAACGTATGTATGAATGTTGTTGTAATATCCTTAAGAAAAAGTTAAGTTTTATTATTAAGTTTGTCTTAGAGAGCTGCTTACCTGATCCGCCACATCTTCCGTTTTTGTAATATATTCGTTTGGGATGTTCATTTCGTCTTTAGTTTCTCTTAAAGAGTTTTTCTTTTCTACTTAAAAAGTGGTCTTTTTTACTGGGGCTGGTGTTTTGTGGACTTTCGATTTAATGTCAATGTCCTGATTTTTAACTTATTTTCCGTGATATTTTTAATTTTTATATTTTATCCGATTATATGTACGATTCTTGTCACTTTTGTTTTTCTTAGATTATTTAAAAAAGTGTCAAATTATTTTCTAACAAACTTATAAAAAAAGAAAACGACAGAATATCCACGTAAAACACGGAACACGGGAGAAGACAAGACAAAAAATAATGAGTGAGTACCACGCAGAGAAACAAGCCGACTCAGCTCAAATCGGCGGCTAGCCGTCGTCGTTCAAATTTTGTTAAGGCGCCGATATTTGATAAAACTGCCACCATTTAGCGTTGCCATAATCAGAAAAAATAGTCATATATTAACCCTTAATAGCCTGATGGTACATCCAGGAACCAACCAATAGAAATTGAGTTTTTTGTTATTTACACCCAGACTTCAGATTTTTTCATATATCAGATTATATAAATCGATATTTTTGGGATGTTTTTTGATTGATTTATTTCAAAATGAAGCATAGCATTTGTGCCAGTAGTCTGTCATTGCTTGATGAAATCTTGTGTTAAAATTCGAGTGGGAAAAGATTGACCAAAAAATTATGGGGTTGAACGTTGTTTATTGCCAACTACCGATATTCACCTAGATCAAATAATACTCTTACCAAAATTTATAATATAAGGCATAACGCGATCAAAAAATCCAAAAAATCAATTTATAGTTATTACATCATTCCAAAAGTTTAGCATTATGATAGAATAAAAAAAAAATACTTTAAATTATGGAGACCTTGGTCCACAATTGACCCAATCCCTCATTGAAGTCCTTATTCCGAAAATCACGCTAACGTGATTTGATCAAAGTTCATATATATGACTACTTCCGAAATTTGTTTCTTTACGACATATGTTTTGCTGATGGGTATATAAGATTCGACATAACCGAATTAGTATTGATTAGAAGAAAAAAATTATTGCGGCAACAATCATATTCGTATTGCGGAAGATACCTCCTTCGGGAGAGATTGTGCGGCCAGGGCGATACCTTCTAGAAGATAAAAAGAGACATTGCTAGTTAAACAACATGGTGATAATAAGAAGATATCTTAATATCCTATTATCTATATTACATATATTATCTATAGTTTAATCTATATTTTGTGTACATTACTTATTATCTTAGTTTAACTCAGTGTTATTGGCCAATTAAACGTAAGTTATAAATAAGAAAACGGAATCAACAAATCGGAAGAAGAGAAAAACTTAATTTTTTATGTTAATAGTATTTTTTACTTGTTTTATCAATATTATTATTGTTTTAAATGTTTGTTTTAATTTTTTATAAAATTGAATTTTCTATGATATTAAAATCGAAACATGAATATATTAATAAAGAGACTTTTAGTTAGGTACATTTTCGTTCTTCACTGGTACTTTTTTGAGTTTTCTTTAAAATTAAATCTAGAAACATGAAATTAAGCATGTAGGGCCCGGAGTAAATGAGAACTTATAAAATGGGATTTTTTTGGTACTTTTTCGTTCTTCAAAAGGTACTTTTTGAATTATCTATGATATTGAACCTAGAAATTAAGCATGTAGAGCCCGGATTAAGTAAGAACTTATAAACGGGGACTTTTTGATACTTTTTAGTTTTTTAACTGGTAATTTTTGAGTTTGCTATAATATTAAACCCAGAAATTTTAAATTAATCATGTAGAGCCCAGAGTAAATGCGAACATATAAAATTTGACCTTTTGGTAATTTTTCGTTCTTCAACTGGTACTTTTTAAGTATTTTATTATAATGAACCAAGAAACATGAAACTAAGCAATCAGGGACTTGAGTGAATGGAAATTTAAAATGGAGTATTTATTATCTACTTTATACTTTTTCCTTATTTAACTGGTACTTTTTGGATTTTATAATATTAAACTTAGGAAATAAAAAAAAATTAAAGTGTTATTTAGATTATTCAAAATTTTATTATATAGATTACACTACGCAGCAAAAATATATACCTGGGAAAATATAGGCCAATCATCATAAAACTTGGTGAAAGGTTTTGTTTTTAATTTTTAAGAATTAATCAATTTTAATTTTTTTGCATCCCTGCATAATTTCCCACACAACTTTTGTGCTTGCTCTATTTTATTGTTATAAATTATATACAATATCCCACTTAAAAAGTCTCGGATTGCGTTTTTATTTAAAATCTTTGAAAATTTTAAAATTAAGCGTATTTGAGAACTTAGTCGGCTTACAGTCGATTTTAAGCCGCCGCCGATATTTTTAGTGTAAGCCACCGCCGCCGTTAATATTTGTCGGCGCAAGGCTATGATCCGCCATTATTAAAAGTGACTTGCTAGTGTGAAGGTGCGTTTTTTCTGTCTTTCGCGTTAGAAGTGAAAAATAGTGTCATTTATTTAATTAGTAAAAAGTGTAAAAAACACATTTACAAACATATTTATTCATAGAAATATATAATAATAATTTTTCATCATTTCGAAGTAAGTAAAAGAACATTTTATTTTCTAAAAGACAGGCCGTAAAATCTACGCAAATTATGCAAATGGAAAAAAATATGTATGTACTTATTGTCCGCCATCTTGTTTTTGTGTAGATTATAAGGGAAGTCTGAAATAGTGAAAGAAAAAAATCAATAGGAAAAGATTTGCGTTTTAAGAACCTTGATTTTTTTGTCTTTAAGATCAAGAGATACAACACAAAAAATGCCACGCTATCGTGAATGGGATTTGGCATGCAAAGTTTATGTGGGTAATTTGGGATCTTCCGCCTCAAAATATGAAATTGAAAATGCTTTCAGTAAATATGGTCCTTTGAGAAATGTGTGGGTGGCACGTAATCCACCAGGTTTCGCCTTCGTTGAATTCGAAGATAGACGTGATGCTGAAGATGCAACCAGAGGTTTAGATGGCACGTAAGTTGAGAAGAGGAAATCTTATGATTCATGAAAATTATGTATTTAAACACTAACAAAAACTTTCTTCTATATAGACGTTGCTGTGGTACGCGCATACGTGTTGAAATGTCCTCTGGCCGTTCTCGTCGTGACAATAGACGCCGTGGTGGCACCAGCAGTGGTGGACGCGGTGGTGGTGGCGAAAGTAGCAGTGGTGGTCGTGGCGGCGGTGGCCGTTACAGGTATGTATTATTTACATTTTAATTGTTTAATTTCTTTTTATCTTTTTGTTAAACATATTTGTTATTTAATTTTATTATAACGTCATGTAAATAATAATCTGCAACGTTTTTTATTACTAAATTTATTTTTTTTTTATAAAAATTTAAATGCGTTTCTATAATAACACCTCTAAAAAATAATGTATGCAAAATAATGACATTCAAGGCCACTTACGTCAGTGATAAGAAAGAATAATTAATAGTTTGTTAAAAATTTACGTTTTATCTCGAATAACAAGCAAATTTAGGAATTCTATTTACTCTTAATGTAGCATTAGTTGGTGCTTATGTTTAGATTAGATCCACTGGCAACTTGATCTTATTTCCGGTAACACGTTTCATACTCGGAGAAGAACTGCCAATTCAGCGAAAATTGTATCTACCGAAATATCACTTTTATGCAGTAAAAATCTGTTTAACATTTATTGAAAACAATCATAAATTAATTTCAAATACATATCGACCCTGTTCTGCTAAATGCGAATGTATGTACATATGTGTTCTTATTTTATATTATATTGAAATCAAAAGTATGAATTAAATGTTTGTTCTCATTTAGAACAGGACAGGACCATCGTTTTTTTCGATTCGAAAGAAGCTTTAAAAATATAAAGATTTCACATAAATTAAATTTTTCTCTAATCGAGTAATAATGTAAACATTTCCTGTGTAGATGGATAGTTTTATTTTTTTTTGAAAATTTCTTTATTGTCGCATTTTGAAAAAATTATGTTATTTTCTAATGAAGCTAATTTTGCTTGTTATTTGATTCCGTTTTATTTTATTTTTCTAGCATGTCATTATTTAAGTTTAGTTTTCATTGTGTCTCATTCTAACATTGTATTTTATCTTTGAAAAAACCCTGCCCTGAAAAACCATCACCATATGTAAACATATATTTTTTTTTTGCTAATCATGTCGTATTTTTTCTTGTTTATTCCTATGTGTCTATAATTAAAAATAAATTTCAAATAGAACAAACAAGTCCTTGTTAAATTATTTGTACACATTTGTATTTGTATTAAAAAAAACTAAGTTCTATATTGGTTAATTACTTTAAACGTGGTATACGCTCCTCATTTTTACAGGATAAAGACAACTTCTGCTTCTACTACTACCTCTACTCGTACTACAAGTACTTCTACTACTACCAACTCCTCTTCCTACTACTACTACTTCTACAACAAACCAATCAACAACTTCAACAACAACGACTACAACTTCTACTATTACTGCTACAACAACAGAAACAAATTCACCAAAACTATTATTCAAATTCCTTTCATCAAAACTACTAATAAAACTCTCAACAAAAACAACACTAAACAACATACTACACACCACCACAGCAACAACTACACGATATTAGAAACTTTCAAAATCAGTTACCGACATATTACTTTCATTTCACTCATATTTCAGTTAAAAAAACAAAATTCAATCATACGTAATATAATCAATTATATATTAGTTATTTTAATTATCATCGACCATTTAAATAAATTAAACAATCTTTATCATCATGAGCCAACGACACAGACTTTTTTAGGGGAACTTTTGGAAATTGACGTAAATGTAGTTGTTGTTGTCGTCGTTTGTAAACAATCAAATCATCAAAATATCAACAATCACCAAAACCACCACCACCACAACCAACACCACCAAAAACATCTCTTCAATTGTAGTAGATTCCCGCAACTTAACTGTTGTAATACTTCCTTCAAATCATCAACTTCAACGTTGACAATTTTGTATACTCCTTCATCAGCAACTTCAACTGCTTCTTCTTGTACTTCAGTCGCCATTATAAGCACCAACAAAAAAATTACTACTACTAAAAACATCACAATAATCACCAATACAACTACCTCTGCTACTACTACCACCACCACCAATATCAATATTAACTCGCCCCCCTTTAACAGTAGTAAACAAATTATTAACAACACCACCACAAGTACCACATCCACCACCACTACCACTTCTACAGTCAAAACCTTTTTAATTCAACTTGCTCTTCTACTTGTACTTCAAATGCTGCAATTCCACGCAGTTTATTATTACTATTATTATTGGTCGTCTACAGCTGCCGCCTTATTTGGGTTTTTGGCTTGTTTATCTTTACTGAACAACATATCAACAACTCAATTAGCAGCAGCCGTCTTCTTCCAACAACTACAACCACCACAACCACTTCTACTACAACAATCAACCACAATCACCATTATTAGCCTTAAAAAAATCATCATTTTCACCAATATTATAGAAAAAAACTACAAGAACACTTCAACAAGTCTTCTTTCAAAAAAACAATCAATCAGCAACGGATTATCATCATCATTTGACAGTTAATAGACTAATACAACTACTGAGACTACTGAGTACTTGAGTGGTTTGTGTCATTTCTGTAAGATTTGAAAGTCGATTTCAACAATTGAGTAAACCTGTTGATGATGAACTTGTCACAAGTATTTTTTTACTGCTTCTGAAAAGAAGTCCAACCTACATACATACATATAGTACTACATGGTCGGTCCGTTAAAGTACAAAAAGAATTGAATTTTAAATGCGTAATTTATTTCGTTTAATAATTTTTTTCGTAATAGACAAGATACGACAAGATATTGGACATTTACGACTTTTTGTTGTGGCTTGTTTTGCAAAATGTGTTGTTAAATAGTTTGATTGTCAATGTGCTAGTGAAAGCACAAAATCAAACGTCCTTATTTAAAACGACTACAAGTGCTACGTCCCAGTCCCAGCTTTTGTTTTGAGAGCAACGAATAATCAACCAACACTTCTTCATTTCTTCAAATTCACATCGCGACCACAAGATCAACCATCCCATCTAAAAATCAACGTGTCTTCTATTCGATTGATCGATCGTATTTAATGAAGGGTATAGTATGAATAAATTTTCTCATGTCTGAAGAAAGTATTATTTTTTTAGATAATATTCAAAATCAAATATTTTCTCGTTTATTTTTATAAATTAACTTCTACTCTAAATTGATCAGAGTGTGTGTTAAATTAATTGCGCTTTACTCTCTAGAAAAGATTCGTAAAGTTTTTGTGTACTACATATCTTTTTTTATATTACTCGATATAATTACAATAACATTTTTTATATTTTTATTTTTTTGTTTTTCTATTCAAACAAAACAAATGAGTGTTATTGAACGGCACAACATTGAACATAAAAATCTTGCGTGAAATTTGAATTGATCATCATGCTTTATGAATCTATAACATCTGCCACATCGTTCGCTTTTGGAACACTTCAATCAACAACACATACTAGAACAATTATAAAGTTAACACAATCAACACTTTGAAATAATGTCATCATTATTAGCAACAGCATTATATTAGAGGTTTCTCTTCCATTTATTTTCTCCAACACAACAGACATCATCTTCAAGTAGTAATAATTTCTTTTGAGAAAATTTCAAATCTAAACTTCAAAATTTTTGCCAACTACTATCTACCAGCTTTAAAAATAATCGTCATTCTACAACAATGGGGAGCAAAATGTAAAAGCGTGTATTTGTGTATTTAATTGTTGAATTTTGCCATGGGTCGGTCGGTTGTCTTCACTACTCTACTACTACATCCTTTTGCCCTTAATTCCTACAACATTTAGAAAAACTTATATATAAATAACTGCAACAAAAATATCATCAAAACCAACCAAATCAAAATCAATCAACACCAAATCCTACCAATATCTAAAATCAACCAATCAACCAACCAATCAGCAATCGTCACAACAAGCAAATCTTAATTTAGAAAAAAATGAAATCAATATTGTTTGAGTATCTCGACATCATTATTATTTAAAGAATTTATCTTCTCACTGCCACAAGTATAAAAATCAACAACCATTTACCACCATACAAAAAAAATCAATCAACAATTAATCAACCAAAACAACAAAATTGTGGTTTGTTTTCTTTAATAAAACAGTGACAGTTGTCTAATCAGTTTATGCTACTGTCACTGTTCTATTCTATTCATTATTATTTTATTGTTTTAAAATACTTTATTGTTTTTAGTTCTTTGCTAAATCAATTGCTATTTAGCAAAACGTATACTTAATTGATTTAATTAAATTTGTTTTGTTTTTTATTTTATTATCTTTTAAGCTTTTAGTTTCGAACTTAACCTTCTTTTAATTGATTTCCTTCTTTTCTCAAACTGCTAAAAATTTATCATTGTATTTTTTGCCTTAATGATTATTTTTACAGATCCCGCTCGCCCAGACGCAGTTCTCGATCCCGCTCCCGCAGCTTTTCACGTGACAGACGTAGCCGATCGGATTCACGTGATCGTCATTAAAACTAATTAAAACTTATAATTTGTTTGCTTAATTATAAAATTAAAAAAAAAAAAAAACATATGCAATGTTTACAGATAATGAATTCTCAAGCAGAAAAAATGAAATTCATTTAAAACTTAAATAAGAAAAAAAAAAAAAAACATTTTTTTCGTCCGTGGATATAAAAACCTTTTATTTTTTTATTTCTCTATTTTTAATTGTATAAAAACTATTTTTCGTTTATTTTCAGTATGAAAATATTCGCATATATGTTCTTTACATATTTTTTCTCTTAATCTTAAGTTAAGTATGTACATGTACCATTTTTATCATAATGTAAGTAGTTATTTTTTTCAAACTCCTCATAATTGATTTAACTACTAATTGTGTACACAATTATGTCTACACAACAATATTAAAATTTGCCAAGTTTTATTTAAAATATTAGTGTGTTTATTAATCATCATTTAAAAATCAACAACACAACTACTACCAACTTAACTGCTCCAAACAACAGAAAAAATACATCAAATCACTTCACTCTATCAGTTTACAAGTTACACATGAGGTAAATTCAATTTTTTTTTTATTTTTAATAATGTAGTATTGGAAACATAATTTTAAACATTTTAGTGATTTTTAGAAATAAAACCTATATAAATAAAAAAAAAAAAATGTACGAAATGTTGTTTTTATTATTCTTAGTTAGAGTAATGGATTTAAAACAAATGTAAGAAAAAGTTAAACCTTGTAACATTTTTTGGTAGATGATTTTTAAAGCTACTAAAGTTTAACACGTTTTTTTATTTTCTGAATAATTTGGGAAAAGTTTCCGTCCTCCAAAACGAATTTCTCGAGTTTATTATGAAAAATATTTCATTAAAAATGTTTCGTGGAGAATGTAAATATTATTCTTTCGAATCGAATTAACGAAAATCTTCAAAAAGAATTTTCTCGGTATGTCCGTCCCTATGTCCAGCTGGCTTTTCATATAAACCTTTTGCGCAAGGTATAAGCCAAGGACGAAGTCTAATGAAAGCGTTTGAAATCATTCCATTATTTTATCTAGTTCCCATATAACCTGATCTTCCGATCTCTTCAGAAATCGGTATATCTAACTTCCTGTTTCACAATATCGAAACTACATTTTCTTATAAATATATTAATATTTAAATATATTGTTGTTTTCAATATATTTGTAAGAAAGAAAATGTTCTTTCGCATTTAGAGAAACCGGCAGTAAGTTTTTATATACATAACTGACACTGTCGATTTTCGTAAAGATCGGGTATCATTTGAACATAGTCCCCATGCATACTCCCCTTTATAAAATTTCTTAAACGTTCATAATTGACTTGTAACCAATAGTATCCCGATGAAATTCAGATTAACTTGTATATAAACATAAATCCCTCCTCCGATTTTTTTTAAGCTAGGGATATATTTGACCATTGGCACCTTGGCTCTTTTAGAAGGAATTTAATATTCCAAAGGAATAAAATCAAAAAATAAATTGAGAGGTTAATTCTCTCGAAACTTTTAAAAAACGGATTAAGTGCCTATTTTAACATAAAAATATCTAAATCTATTTGCAAATTCAAAATTTATTACAATTTACTTTGAAAATAAAAATATTTTACAAATTTTTATTGAGATCCCGGGCCAACAACTATTGGTATGTCATCATTTAAGTTCATTTCCTCTCCTGGTGAATATAAGCCTAAAGCAGAACGTTCTGGCAAACCGGGTATTGCTCGGTCATTGGTGTCATCATCTTCATCATCATGGCTATCAGAATCATCACTATCATCATTGGCTAAAAATTTAATATAATAAATTAAACTAGAATTTTTTACCCAAAAACAAATTACCATCTTCATCATCCGTTTCAAGCCCAGGCATTGTTAAAACTTTTCCCAAAGGATGTAAATCGGCAGCGGCATTCTTCATGGCATCTAACTAAACGGTAGACAATTAGTAAATCTCTTTATTTTGTTAATAATACAAAAAAAACAATTTACCCAACTATGATGTTCACGTTCATATTTAAGTACTTCGGCCTCCTCGTTAATGGGAGCACTATCAAACCATATACGATTGGCTATGGGAGGCCGTAAGGAGGGAAAAAATGGCAACATAGACATGTTTAAACTTTTGCTATTTACTATTTTAATAAAATGCTAATTATTTTGTTAATATTACGGTGACAACAAAACTTTTTTTCTTACGATGTAAACAAACTTTCAAAATACTGAGTTGCAGTTTAAAAGTACTAAACAATAATTTTATTAAGCAACTCTGTTTTCGTGGAATGTATCAATTGATACATTCCACAAAAACAGAGTTGATTAATAAAATTTAAAGAAAAATATTTTTAAATCTACAACAATTAAAAGACTTTTTAATAAAAAATAAATTGCAAATAAATTAATTTTTTTTTTAATATTTCTACTTTTGTTTAAATACAATTTCTTATTGAAAAAGTACTTTTTGCTTAAATTACTTCTACTGTAAAATCCAAATTTTCCATGCCTGGAATCTACACATTCAATGCACAGCTGACTGTCATTATTTGTTTGTGTCCTAAAACGTTTAACATTTCAAGAAAAATTCCAGAAATTTTGTAATTTTATTAATAATATACCGCAAAAATGATAGAAATTACTTGCAACGATCGTTTGGGTAAAAAGGTAAAATAAATAGCTTACAAACAATTATAAAACTTGCTGCTAAAGTCTTTTTTTATAAACAGGTACGCGTGAAATGTAATCCGGATGATACCATTGGTGATCTCAAGAAATTGATTGCTGCTCAAACGGGAACAAAATATGATAAAATCGTTTTAAAGAAATGGTATACCATCTATAAGGATAATATTAAGCTATCGGACTGTAAGTATTGAATCAAATTGTATTTGTAGTAAGGTTTTGTTGTAATCTTTTTCTTTTTTGCTTTTAGATGAAATTCATGACGGCATGAATTTGGAATTATACTATCAATAAATATACAATAAGTTCAAATTAATTTAAAACTTTTTTTACCACTTTTAATAGACCTGAAACTTAAAATAATAAAAAAAACTTGTATTTAATTATTTAAAACAAATATTTCTGTTAAAAACTCTTAAAATTATTAACTGATCTCTAAAACTATGATATTTCCCGTAAATCTGCGAATCGGCGGTAGATTTTCTAAAAATAAAGAAAACAGATACATATGGGTGTGCGCCCAGTACAAAAGTGACACAACTCAATTTTTTTTAAGAAAAGGAAACACATTTTTTACAAATTCTGAAACATAAAGAAGGACAACGTTTTCTCTTCAACAGTTAACAACAACAAAATACACTAATATTTTTTTAGAGATAAATAAGCATCATGTGTATAGTATAAGGCTTAAACTTAAAGCTTAAAGAATATGAAAACGCAAAAATAAAATTTTGAGTTATGTTACTTTTGTACTGGGCGTGCGATATGTATGCAATATGCATATCAATGAAAGTTCTTACGAATATCTACCCTTTAATCGGGGTGGTCATTGTCTTCAATTGTTGAGGGAAAACGAATCCAAATATTATTCATATAACAATCTTCCCAAAGAATGTGTAATGTAATTACTCTAGAATTGAATCGGAAAAATATCTGGGGTCCCCAGAAACTTGATTTCAATAGATATGCTAACAGACGGACATAGATAAGAATTTAAAAATAAAGTACAGATACCGAAAAAAGAATGCTTGGTTTGTTCTAAGATACCATTCGTCAAAATTGTCGTTCTGGGGTCAACATTTAATATGCTGGGTCAAAGGATAAAATGTCCTTTTTTTAAGTGTTATTCAAGAAAACACCAAACAGCGTTTAATTTTTATTATGGGAAGAGGCCAGAAAAGAATGGGAGCAGTGTCGCCAAATGTGGGGATTCCCCCCCCCCAATTGGGGATTTCATGCTTTATTTGGGGATATATTTTCGTGGGAGGGATTTTCGAAAATTTTTGGGGAATTTTTATTATTTTTCCGCTATTTTTGGGGATTTTTATATTTTTTAACAATTATATTCTAGTTTTTGTATATGGGTCGTTTTTAAATATTTCGAACCGGTTTCTTAACTTACTCTTTACGATTTCGAGAAATTCAATCCTACACCTATTGGTGTAACGATATAACTCCCCTAATGTCTCACAAACAATCATGATGTTTTTTTGGGAAAAAATATGGAGATTTAGATTTAAAAATGGGGATTTTTTGGGAACTTCCAGCCTAAGATTGGGGACAAAAGTTAAAAATTTTCTGGTACCACTGACATACACATACTTTTATTTTCAAATTCATTTTTACGTTACCTTAATGCCGATAAAACAGTTTTGTCTAAACAGTGCTAAAATTTGCCAAGATATAACAGTTTTTCCTCTAAATTATGTATGTTTGTATATCATTTCCCTATATTGATAAAATGTTTATAGTAAAATGTTAGCAATAAAATGAAAGCGTGAAAGATGTACGAAGAGTAAAGTTATAAAAATTACAATAAAATAATGGGAACAATAATAAAGAAAAGTTTCAAAAAACTTATTTTTTATGTCTGGAAATATTAATACGTATGTATGTACTTATATTTGACACAAACCCATAGGAAACTTTTGCAATTAGCAGCTTTACAAGGAGTCAATATTTTTTTTTAAATGTATAACTGTTTATAGTTTAAATAATTCTCAAATTGCATAAGTATCGACTATTGAAATCAATTATCTGAGAACCCCAGATATCTTTGGGATCGAACTTTCGAGAAGTTTCCTATTTAAAATCAACAAAATCTGAAAATTAATAAAAAAATAGATTTTTTGTACATACTTAAACGAAAAGAAATAATAACAACAACATACAGCTTCATATGGTAAATATTGTTCTTGTACTTACTTAGTTTGCTTATTTATAAACACAAACGTTTTGTTAATGCTAAAATTAGGGATTGAAAATTGTGTGTAGGAAATTAAGCAGCGATGAGAAAAACTAAAAAAATAATTTAAACATTTTAAATGTGTTAATTTGGTTTTATATGTAACACTGGTATGGTATCAAAAAATGGTTTTTATATAAAAATCTTAAAATCACTTGAATTTTCATAAATTAGCATCGAAATAAGAAAATAATGAAAATGTGCGTTGCACGAAAAACTTAAAACTGTCTGCAGTTTTTTAATAAAAGGCTTAATTAAGTAAGTAAGTAAGTAAGAAAGTAACGAAAATCTATCAGGCCTGTCACACATTCCGATCGGAATGGTTTCAATTCCGTAGGAACCATTCCGATCGATTTCGTTTTAGCTTCTTCAGATTCCGTTCGATTTTGCTTATTCCCAAAAGAATAAACTTCTCCACATTTTTATTTTTTATATGGCAACTTTGTATAAATCAAAACAAAAACATATGTTTCAATTTCAAAATAAACATTTTGCGGCAAAAATTTTATTTTTAACATAAAATCTATAATAAAATAAAAGTAATTAAACTTAAAATTAAAGAAACGTGTATAAGTAAAAAGAAAAAATTAAGATAATTATGCCGGGTGTATCAACTGTTGCTGTAATGGAGGAAAGCAGGAGACAACATTCAGTGGAAAAATTGTGTCGGCGTACATTAAGAGATGCCTCATATCCACCGGCTATATTCGATTTAAAAAGAATATCAAAATACCATGCGTATACGTATTTTTCAATTAAATATTAATCATACGTACCGTTTTCCCTATTAAAGTACTTTTTATGTAAATAAAATTTAAAAATTTTATGCTAAAATAACAAATAACCATTGATAGTACAATTAAAAAAAGTGTATCTACGTAACAGCTATCATGAACAGATAATAAAGTAGTCAAGGTAGTATAAAGAAAAATAAAACTACAAACCCATAAATAAAACTTTAACCAAACTAAAATATAATAAAAACCCCACAGTAGTTTACAATGATTTTAAAGGAATTTAAGTGTGAGAATTAGTGTTTATAAACCGGTTAACCGGTTAACCGAAGAACCGGTTTTTATTGCATATTTCGGTTTTTCGCAAACCGGTTTTTTTAAAACATTGGTTTTCGGTTAACCGGGTTATCCGGTTTTTAAGTCTCGGTTAACCGATTTCAAAAAAATCTAATTTTTAGTACAAAATTGTATGTTTTCTTTGATTTTTTATTGTGATTTTTAAAAATTTTGGATAGTTGAGATTGTTAAACAAATGTTAGGAAATGTTAAACATATACTATGCATATAAAATGGAGATTTACAAATTCAGACAAAAAAATAATAAAAAATTAAGTATTTAAACAAATTCCAACCATTATATGAAGAAATTTGTTACTTATTAAGACGAATAAATAACGTTGATTATAAAATGCACTTCCTTGTTTACTGCGTGAGTATAACAAAAATCGAGAAGTTTGTCAAACGTTCTCAAAACGGATTTTATTTATCGAAACATAAGGGTAATTGTCGCTGTCCGAGAATTTATGCTGCTGGGGTTTTTCACAAACTGTAATGGCGCTTAGGTTGATTATCAGGAAGTAAGTACTGACACCTGTGTGTCATTCACAGTAATTTGAACAACCACAGGCGTAGTGAGCGGAGGGTGGTCACAATTAAAGCAGTGGCTCAATGTCTATGTCGAGACAGTCGTCGTCTACTTCCGTTCCCGATGAATCGTCTCGAGCCTGAACACTATTTATACTAGTGTTGGACATAAAATTTTTTATTGATATAGATGCATTATATATTCAAAGGTCAATTTATTCCTCCTATGGCAACTTCCATATACCTGACGAATCAATAATAACTTCAGATCTGTATAAGTTTGCTTTCTTATGATATATTAATGTACATATTTATACTAAAAAGTGCAAATATCTTATTAAGTAATTCATAATATTTCGCAAAATGAAATTTTTCAACTAAATATTATAATATTTTAAAGATTTCCAAACATTTTTGGTTAACCGGTTTAACCGGTTTTTTTGTACTCGGTTAACCGACAAACCGGTTTTTTAGAAATGGTCAATTTTCGGTTAACCGAAAAACCGGTTTTTCCAAAAGTCGGTTTTTTATAAACACTAGTGAGAATGTAAATGTATTAGGGTGATCTAATTTTTAAAGATCATAGAAGAAGCTTTAAGATTCACAATCAAATGAAAAGCTTTAAGTATTATAATCTTAAGAAAAGGTTTAGGCTTTATCCATTTTTTACAATTTTATAATCCGTTAAGCATAAACTGGATTGAAATAATGAAATATAACTCAAACTAGAACAATTTTCGAACACTCGTTAGGAAAACAAATATATGTAAACCTAAATATGTATAACTCCAGATAAATTTCAAGAAACTTAAACTTTTTTAAACATAATATAAAAGAAAATGATTTTCAATTGAATTCAAAATTCTAGATGTTACTCTTAGTTAAGGACTCTCTAATACTAGCATTTAAAGCGGCATTCCCTTTATTTTTACATCTATAATAAAAACAACAAAACAACAGTTAAGAAACATTTTACACAGTTGTATTGACAATTATAATAACAACAAGCATAATAACCTCACCACTATGTAATAATTCTGTAAGTGCTGTTTTTTGCCATTGCTGTTTATAATGCATTTGACAATGACAGTTTCTACCAACTGTTAACATCACCAAGGTTCTGATGACGTTTAACTAAAATAATTCTCAGAAAAAAGTAAAACCTTCAATGAATATTCTCAAAATTTAGAAGGCTTGTTTGTATGTGTGTATGAATGCGAACAACAATGATTTTTATGTTTACAAAAGGAGTATTGAAGTCAACAACAACTATTGAATACTATCAGGCAAAAATGAAGGCCAAGGATAAATAACATGTTTTTCAATAAATATGTAAAGTGAACAAGTGACAGTAATAGGAGAGTAGAGATATGAAGTGAGAGAAGATACTAAGTAATAAATGTATATAAACAAAAACATAGGCATTAATGTAACAAAAGCTTTAACTAAGGATAAAAAAGCTTTGTTTCCTACAGGTTTATGAAAAAGGGGAAGGAAAAAGCATGCGGAAAAAGCGGTATTACGAGAAGGTTGTGTTTAAAAAAAATAACGTTGTTTCTTTTTTTAGGAGCAAAATGTTTAGAGAAGACTAACATTATTATTATTTAATACAGTCCCACCAATTACGTTTTTGACAACGGTTTTTGGCATATATGTGCATTTTACATATAATATGTTTAGCATAGGGATGGTTCTAGTTCCAACACTTTATAAGAATGTGACCAGTTACTTTCATATGGCTATAAGTGAACTAGAACTGAACTAGAACTGAACTAAAACTGAACTAGAACTGAACTAGAACTGAACTAGAACTGAACTAGAACTGAACTAGAACTGAACTAGAACTGAACTAGAACTGAACTAGAACTGAACTAGAACTGAACTAGAACTGAACTAGAACTGAACTAGAACTGAACTAGAACTGAACTAGAACTGAACTAGAAA